TTCCCCAGGTCTTTCTCCCTGAAGTATTTGTTTATAGTTTTCTTTTTTAAACTTTTTGTTTTATTATTATTATTTTTGTTTGTTTGTTTGTTAATCCTCACCTGAGGATATTTTTCCATAGATTTTTTTTTCTTTATTGATTAAGGTATTACATATGTGTCCTTATCCCCCCCGTTCCCCCCCCAACCCCCACTCATGCCCTCACCCCCCTGGTGTCTGTGTCCATTGGTTAGGCCTATATGCATGCATACAAGTCCTTTGGTTGATCTCTCCTCCTTACCCCCACCCTCCCCTACCTTCCCTCTGAGGTTTGACAGTCTGATCGATACTTCTCTGTCTCTGGATCTGTTTTTGTTCATCAGTTTATGTTGTTCATTATAGTCCACAAATGAGTGAGATCATGTGATATTTGTCTTTCTCTGACTGGCTTATTTCGCTTAGCATAATGCTCTCCAGTTTCATCCATGCTGTTGCAAATAGTAAGAATTCCTTCTTTTTTATGGCAGCGTAGTATTCCATCGTGTAGATGTACCACAGTTTTCTAATCCACTCATCTGCTGATGGCACTTAGGCTATTTCCAAATCTTAGCTATGGTGAATTGTGCCGCTATGAACATAGGGGTGCATATATCCTTTCTGATTGGTCCACTGATTTTTAGAGAGAGTAGAAGGGAGAGGGAGAGACACAGAGAGAGAAACATCGATGTGTTGGGGATTGAGCCTGCAACCGAGGTGCCCTTGACATGTCCTTGACTGGAATTGAACCCAGAACCCCTTCAGTCCACAGGCCAATGTTCTATCCACTGAGCCAAACCAGCTGTTTATACTTTCCTTCTGGCTCTTGGTCTGCCTTAAAGTTCAGTGATGTGTGTTCCTGTCTCTTCATCCTGCCCATTCCCTTCCCAAATCCTTTTGATGTTTCCTCTGCCTGGGGAGAGGGGGTAATGTCTCTCTACAGGACTTCAAAATCTGGCTTACAGGCCGAGGCAGAATATGTAGACTGAATATTTGTGTCTCCCCCACTCGGTTGTTATGCTGAAGCCTAATCCCCAATGTGATGGAATTTGGAGGTGGGGTTTTTGGGAGGTGGGATTAATGTCCTTATAAAGAGACTCCCTCTCTCCTCCACCATGGGGAGGACACAGAGAGAAGAGGGCTACGAACCAGGAAGCCAGTCCTCATCAGACCCTAAATCTACCAGTGTCTTCATCTTGGACTTGCCAGGCTCCAGAATTGTGAGAAATAAATTTCTCTTGTTCATAAGCCGCTAGTATATGGTGTTCATTTATTGCAGCCCAAATGGACTAAGACACTCCAGGGCTTCAAAAGACTGGTTTCTCACCAGTCAGGATTTAGCTAAAAGCTCCCCTCCCCTCAGACGTTTAACCCCAAGGCCAATCTAGCTCTCCAGCCACTTGTTATCATATCACCTGGTTTTGTTTTCTTCCCAGAGCATCATTATCTGAAATTATTTCATTTGCATATTTGTTCATGATCAGAGTTCTCCCCCCGCCTCCAGTAATGTCAGCTCCTTGAAGTGTGAGAGAAGGCCGCCTTGTTTCCTGGTATATTGTCAGCCTCTAGGAAGGCTGGCACATAGTAAGTGACTAATAAATAGTTGTTGAATGAATGAAAGATGGTTGCCTGGGAGCTCCTTCAGGGAAGGATTGGGTCTAAATAACAATAATATAATAATAGTTATAGTTATAATAGCTATTTATTGAGCCTGACAAATGTACTAAGCTCTACAGCAAATGCATCTCATGATTATCTCATTTAATCTTTAGGACAACCCAGTGGGGTAGGAGTTACTAGTATCTTTAATTCCCATTTGTCAGATCAAACTGAAGCTTAGAGGAGTTTCATCACACAGCTAGGGCTAGACTGCTGATTTTCAAAGTGTTGTACCTAAGGAGCCACAGCTTCAGCGTCACCTAGAAATCTGTTAGAAATACACTTTCTTAGGCCTCACCCCAGATATACTGAGTCAGAAACTCTGGGGTGGAGCCAGCAATCTGAATTTTAACAAACCCTCCAGGTGATTATGATGCACTAGTGTGAAAAACCCTGTGCTGAAAGAAAGACGAGCTTGGATTCTTATTTATGTATGTATGTATGTATGTATGTATGTATGTATGTATTTATTTATTTGTTAATCCTCACCTGAGGATATTTTTTCCCTTTTTTTTTTCATGGAGAGAGAGAGAGGGAGAGAAACACATCACATCACTTGGTTGCCTCCCACATGTGCCCCAACCAGGGGCAGAGATCAAACCTGCAACCCAGGTATGTGCCTTGGACTGGGAATCGAACCTGAGACCCTTCAAGATGCGGGGCTGAGCTCTAACCACTGAGAAAACCGGCCAAGACTTGGACTTTTTTTTCTTTTTTAAAAAATATGCTTTTATTGATTTTAGAGAGAGGGAGAGGGATATAGAGATAGAAACATCAATGAGAGAGACATGGATTGGCTGCCTCCCACACACTCCCTACTAGGGATTAAGCCTGCAACCCAGGCATGTGCCTGACTGGGAATCGAACCAGGCACCCCCTGTTCATGGGTCAACGTTCAACCACTGAGCCATACTGAGCTGGGCTCTTTTTTTAAAAACTGCATTATTGAGATATAATTTACATACTATACAATTCTCCCATTTAAGTATACAATTCAATGGGTTTTAGTACACTTATAGGGTTGTGCAACCATTTCCAAAATAAGTTATGATTAGATTAATGGATTATAACATTTTTGTCTCCTCTGAAAGAAACCCCTTATCCATTCCTCTCCCATTAACCAGCCCCAGCCCTAAGCAACCACTAATATATTTTCTACCTTTATAGTTTTGCCTGTTCTGGATATTTCATACAAGTGGAATCATAAAAATATATATGTGATTTGCTGTGAATGGCTTCTTTCACTCTGCATATGTTTTTTTAAAGTTCATCCATGTAATAGCATCTATCCTTTTTATTGACAAATAATATTCTATTTATGGATATACCACATTTTTTTTTAACTCATTCATCAATTGATGAACACTTGGGCTGTTTCAAATTTTTGGCTATTGTGAATAATGCTATGAACACTCATGTATAAATTTTTGTATGGATATTTGTTTTTATGTCTCTTGGATACTATATATATGCACATCTATCTATCTACCTATCTATCTATCTATCTTTCTATCTATCTATCTATCTATCTGTCTATCTATCTAGGAGTAGAATTGATGGGTCATAGATCTTACCCTCTAAATCACTACACATTTCAGCTAGTCTGCTAGTCTTTGTCTCTGCTATTATTAAATAAGTATATCATTAATAACACCAATATTCTATCTATTAAGTGTCTTTGTTGCAAGGCCCTTTACTTTTATTTTTTAAAATATTTTTATTGATTTCAGAGAGGAAGGGAGGAGAGAGATAGAAACATCAATGATGAGAGAGAATCACTGATTGGCTGCCTCCTACACGCCCCCCACCAGGGACCGAGCCTGCAACCAGGGCATGTGCCCTTGACCAGAATCAAACCCGGGACCCTTCAGTCCGCAGGCCGACGCTCCATCCACTGAGCCAAACCGGCCAGGGCACCCTTTACTTTTATTATCACAAATCCTCACTCAATCCTTTGACACAGGAATCATCACTCCCTGCAGTACAGGGAGAGAAATTGGAGTGCACAAGCATAAGGCCATCTGTCTGCACTCAGACAGCTAACTCCGGCAATGCTGGAGCCACAACCCACATGGGCCTGTTTTCTGTGCCCTCTGTGCCTGCTGCCATGTCCTGGGCCAGACCCGTCCCAAAGCTGTCGTAACATGCCTCCTGCCCTCCTTTGGGGCATTTTCTGGAAGTCAGACTGGCCTGAAATCCCAAGGGAGAAAGCTGTACACTCACTCCCCATGCTCTTTTCCCCAGCTGGCACTGAAGGCCAGGGGAGGGGCTTCCCCCGGGAGCTGGAAATAAAATGAAGGGAGGGCTGAGCTGAGCAGGGCAGTACTATAAGGAGGTTAGGAGACTGTGAGGGGGAGGTAAGGAGTTTTTTGTTTTGTGGTGTTTTGTTTTTTGGCTCTTGGAGAGCAGGTGAGGTGGGGCTTGGCAGAGTTTTGCTATGGATAGGGAATGGGAGTGAGGAGTGAGGCCCAAACAAGCAGACTTGGATAGTGAACTTTCACAGGCAAGGCAGGTCTGAGGAGCCCTCTTCCCCACGTCTTTAGAAGGAAAGAGTGATTTTATCTGACTGTGGAGGGGGCTTTTCTTCCATGACCGCTCCTTGAGCCCCTTATTCTGTGCCAGGCCCTTGCTGTGCTGGGGGCTAGGATTAGGGAGAACATCTCAGGGCCAGGCACCCCGTGCCTAGGGGGCTAAGACAGAAATAGACACTTGGCTAAGAAGTAGGAAGGGCAGGTTGAAGGGGAAATTCTGTGAGCTGTGTATGAAGGCTTTCCAAGGAGTGGAAAGCAATGCAACTAGGGCTTCAAAGCTACAAACATTTAGCTCTGGGCCAAAGGAAGGCATTGCAGGTGGAGGGGACTGCCGTTTGCATGCTTGGAACATGCAAAGCTGGAGCATGGAGGTTTAGGAGATAAAGTGGTAGCAGATGAGCCCAAAGCTGTCAGCTAGAGCTATACTGTCCAGTATGGTTTCCAGGAGCCATAAGACACCATGGCTATTTAAATCCAGTTAGCATTAAAAATAATTAAAAATCCAGCCCCTTAGGCATCCTAGCAACATTTTAAGTGCTCAATAGCCACATTGGGCTAGTAGCTATGGAAACAGAGAGAAGAGATATGGAACATTCTCCATCATCTCACAAAGTCCCTTTAGTCAGTGGGAAGCCTCAGGAGGGTTTGGATTGCTCAAGGGCCTACGGGAGAGAGCAGGCTTAGCCTGGGCTGCCTGGCCTGTGAGGCCTGACCTGTGATGTCTCTGGACTACAGCTGAGGGAACAGTCCCCAGCAGTGTGAGGTGGTGTGACTCACCTCCTGCCAGCACAAAGTGGACTCTGCCCCCAGGGACAGGAATTAACCAGGCCTGGCGTCTTTAGCTCCAACTTGGGATCCCTGATCAGTGTGAGCAGAGCCAGAGTCAGAGAAACATGGAGTGAGTGGTACTAGGGAGGGTGGAGCAGCTGAGTGGGGCTGAGCCTGGGCACTGAGGGGGTCTCCAACTTGGTCACAGTCGGTGTGCACAGGGCTGGACAGAAAAAAGGCTGGGGAGGGTGTCTGTGAATTGAGAGGGAAGAGCAGGGTGGAAGCTTGCTGGATGGGGGTGGGGTGGTTCTGTGTCAAATGATGAGAGAACGGAAACCCTCCCAGTCCACGGTAATGAGCTGTTTCTGCTTCCTTCCCAGGTCCAATGCAGTCCAGCTGACGAGGATGGAATACGCCATGAAGTCCCTCAGCCTTCTCAACCCCAAGTCCCTCTCCAGGTGAGGAGAGCCGAGGGTGAAAGGGAAGGGGAGCTACCTGAGAGCGGTAGGGCAGAACTTCTCCAATTTCAGTGGCACATAAGTCACTTGTGTGTCTTCGTAAAGTGCAGGTTCTGACTCAGGGGCTCTGTAATGGGACCCAAGATTACCACCACACTGTGCTTGTGCTTTCATTCTTGATCTCATTTCAGCCTCACCAGGACGTTGGGAAGTGGGGATGATTATGCCAAATTAATAGACGAGGGAGCTGGGGCACAGAGTGGATGCTTTCCATTACCTGGCAAATGGATAGCGGGGCCAGGATTCTAACTCTGCCTGCCTGACTCCAAAACCCAGGTTCCCTCCACTCCGTTGGTCCTACATTGTGTTATGTCAGAGCACAACAACACCTTACACTGACGTCAGCTTCGCCACTTTATCTCACTTTACAGGTGAGAAGAGTGAGGCCAAGAGAGGAAAGTGGAATTGGGGGAATGTGGGGTGGGTCTTCTATCACTGTTCCCCCTCATGGTCTGAGAACCCGCAGAGTCAATATCACTTGGGAATTTTTCAGACACATAGAATCTCACACTCCACCCAGACCTACTGAATCAGAATCTGCACTTCACCAAGATCCCCACAGGACTTGGATGCCCATTAAAGTCTCAGATGCACTGATGTGGCTGACTTTTGAGTAAGACTATCTAGAGCAGGCCTGGTGGGTGGTAGGGGAGGAGGAATATGGTGAACTCAGCCTACAGGGATTGCTATGGGGTGAGAGCTGGGAAGCAGCAGGCAGCTTATTCTAATGCCCCAAACCACCCCCAGGTATGTGGCAGTGAGCACCTCGGTGGTCACCCAGCAGCTGCTGTCGGAGCCCAGCCCGGAGCCCCTCAGAGCCCGGCCCTGCAGAGTGAGCACCCAGGACCGGAGTGTGCGGAAGGGCATCACGGCACACAGCCTGGAGGACCTCCTCCACAAGGTGAGGGGCAGGCCTGACCTCTGCACAGCCCAGCCACTGGGACCTTGGCTCAGAGTTGGCCCTGCCTGCTGCCTCTGTCCTCCAGGTCATGAGCTGCAAGTTCAGTAAGGATGAAGTTCATGGCTTACATGGCGAAAAGATTTCCTTTCTCAGGCCAGGTCAAGTGGGTTGGTAGTGCCTGCCTGGAGTGCTGTACAGTTGATTAGTGTTGTCTGTCCGTTGACAGGGGGAGGGCAGTATATTGCTTTCCTATATGTTGATATGTTGATATGATGATCAGTGGTATTTTCAGAGCATAATTGCTCCCTGGAAGGATCCTTAGGTTGCCTTTTACAGTCGTTCTTAAACTTGTAGAAGTGCCGGGAAGCTGGGGAAATGGGCAAGATTTTAGACATTCCCTTCTCCATCTCCTCCCTTCAGCCAGGGCAGTTCTCCTCAGTCTGTTCCCTATACTGACCTTCCACATAAGGATTTTTTAAATAGCTGTAGAAGGCTTTCTTCAAACTGTTAATCAGGGAAGCTTCCAGGGGAGAAAACCAAGGATATACAACGCTTGTGGATGGTAGTCACAGCAGGCAAGAATGACACCCTTCCCCATTTCCAGCTTCCTCTCCACTGCTTGGGGGTATCTTCCTCCGTTGCCCGGCCTACAGCCTCATCTGTTCTGGCTCCATATTAGTCATGCGCTTCACTGCCCCACTAGCTTATCAGCTCCAGGGGGTGGGATCCTGCTCATCTGCAAGTCCAGGTGCCTGACACAGATCAAATGTTTGAATTAGGCTTCCAATTACTAGTCTGTTTAACATATCGAAATCATAGCTCACCCTAGCTGGTTTGGCTCAGTGGATAGAGTGTCAGCCTGCGAACTGAAGGGTCCCAGGTTCAGTTCCAGTCCAGGGCACATGCCTGAGTTGCAGGCTCCATCCCCAGTAGAGGATGTGCAGGAGGAAGCTGATCACGGATTCTCTCTCATCATTGATGTTTCTATCTCCCTCTCCCCTCCTGTCTGAAATCAATAAAAAAGTATTAAAAAAAAATCATAGCCGACCTAACCCTCTATTCTAGGTTCTCTCCCCCATTTCTCTGAATTAGGCCCAGTCTTCCTGGAAGCCAATTTCCCCTCCCTTGTAAGGCTTCCGGTTGTGCCAGACTGCATTTCTTGTGCCTGGAATCAAAAGGGCTCCTTCACACTTGAGTCTAGACCAGCCGTGGGCAAACTATGGCCCGCAGGCCGGATCCGGTCCATTTGAAATGAATAAAACTAAAAAAAAAAAAGACCGTACCCTTTTATGTAATGATGTTTACTTTGAATTTATATTAGTTCACACAAACACTCCATCCATGCTTTTGTTCCGGCCCTCTGGTCCAGTTTAAGAACCCATTGTGGCCCTAGAGTCAAAAAGTTTGCCCACCCCTGGTCTAGACTCTGCACTATTTTTCATACTGAGGTTCAGGGACCACCTTATGCATTACAATGGCCTTGTTAACACATGGCTTCCCAGACTTCTCCCCCTGAGACTGATTAGGTCATGAGTGGGGCACAGGAATTGTCATTTTAGCAGATTCTTCAGGAGATTCTTATAGCCACTGAGTTTGGGAATTCCTAGTCAGAGCCCTAACTGCAGAGGATGCAGGGAGGGACAGCTTTCTAAGATGGATCATAGGTCAGAAGTGAAGTCTACTTGGAATTAGGAAGACATCCTTCTATCTAGACTAACTTTCCAAATTTGGCAACAGAAAGAAAGGAGCAGAGAAAATGAGAGGAGAGAGGGTAAGGAGATATGGTTGGGAGAGACCAGGGTATGAAGTCCTTTATTGGCCATGGCAGAGAACAGTTGGGTTTCATGTTAAAAGAAAAGCTCTAGCTGGTTTGGCTCAGTGGATAGAGCGTTGGCCTGCGGACTGAGGGGTCCCAGGTTCAATTCTGGTCAAGCGCACATGCCAGGGTTGCGGGCTCAATCCCCAGTAGGGGGTGTTCGGGAGGCAGATGATCAATGATTCTCTCTCATCGTTGATGTTTCTATCTCTCTCTCTCCCTCTCCCTTCCTCTCTGCAATCAATAAAAATACTTAAAAAAAAAAAAAAGATAACAGAAAGCCATTGGGGGATTTTTTAAAATGAAAACTAATTTTGAAACAATCTCAAACTAACAAAATTTGCAAGAGCAATGAAACTTCCTGAAGCACTTGAAAGCAAGTTGCCGACCTAATGCTTGTCATTCTTGGATACATCAATGTGTGTTTTCTCCAGACAAGGATATTCTCCTATATAATCACAATACAACCATCAAAATCAGGCAAAATACAATATTATATAACTACCATTTGATCTTGAGACTACATTCAAGTGTTTGCAATTATCCTAATAATGTGCTTTGTAGCAAAAGGACCCAGGTCAGGATCAAGTGTTCTATTTAATTGTGAATCTCTCTTTTTAAAAAATTTTTAATTTATTTATTTTAATTAAATCTTTATTGTTCAGATTATTACATTTGTTCCTCTTTTTCCCCCCCATAACTCTCCTCCTCCCAGTTCCCGCCCCACCCTCCGCCCTCACTCCCCACCCACTGTCTTCATCCATAGGTGCACGATTTTTTTTTTTTTTTAATATATTTTATTGATTTTTTACAGAGAGGAAGGGAGAGAGATAGAGAGTTAGAAACATCGATGGGAGAGAAACATCGATCAGCCGCCTCCTGCACATCTCCTACTGGGGATGTGCCCGCAACCCAGGTACATGCCCTTGACCGGAATCGAACCTGGGACCTTTCAGTCCGCAGGCCGACGCTCTATCCACTGAGCCAAACCGGTTTCGGCAGGTGCACGATTTTTGTCCAGTCTCTTCCCGCATCTCCCACACCCCTTTCCCCCCCAAGAATAGTCAATCCATTCCCTTTCTATGTCCCTGATTCTATTATGATCCCCAGGTTATTTATTCACTTGATTCTTAGATTCACTTGTTGATAGATGCATGTTTGTTGTTCATAATTTGTATCTTTACCTTTTTCTTCTTCTTCCTCTTCTTAAAGGATACCTTTCTTATTTGGTGATGGACTCCTTTAGCCTTTCCTTATCTGTGAAGCTCTATATCTGACCTTCAATTCTGAATGATAGCTTTGCTGGATAAAGTAATCTTGGTTGTAGGTTCTTGGTATTCATCACTTTGAATATTTCTTGCCATTCCCTTCTGGCCTGCAAAGTTTCTGTTGAGAAATCAGCTGACAGTCGTATGGGTATTCCCTTGTAGGTAACTGAGTTTCTTTCTCTTGCTGCTTTTAAGATTCTCTCTTTGTCTTTTGCTCTTAGCATTTTAATTATGATGTGTCTTGGTGTGGTCCTCTTTGGATTCCTTTTGTTTGGGGTTCTCTGCGCTTCCTGGACCTGTAAGTCTATTTCTTTCACCAGGTGGGGGAGGTTTCTGTCATTATTTCTTCACATAGGTTTTCAATATCTTGCTCTCTCTCATCTTTTGGCACCCCTATAATTCTGATGTTGGTACGCCTGAAGCTGTCCCAGAGGCTCCTTACACTATCTTCATATTTTCGGATTCTTTTTTCATTTTGCTTTTCTGGTTGGGTGTTTTTTGCTTCTTCGCATTTCAAATCTTTGCCTTGATTCTTGCGCTCCTCTGATCTGCTGTTGGGAGTCTGTATAGTATTTGTTATTTCAGTCCGTGTATGCTTAATTTCTAGTTGGTTCTTTATCATAACATCGAGGGTCTCATTAGATTTCTTGAGGATCTCACTACATTTATCGGCGGCTTCTAGACAGTTCTTAAGAGACCTTAAAAGTGTGGTTCTGAACTCAATATCCTCCATTGACAGTTTTGTCCTGTTTCTTTGTCTCCGCATTTTTTATGCTTTCTTGGTGCACCCCCTAGTGGTCTTTGTGCGCAGTCTTGTTGTAGTTAAGCCTTGATTGTTGTTGGCAATACCGGGGGTGATTTGACCTCCAGGCTAACTGGCTATGAGAGTCCGCTGTGTCTGCAGTGGGAGAGCTTCTGTGCTGGATCTCTAGGGCCTAATTTATTTATTTTAAAGAGAGAGAGAAATGAAGAGGAAGAGACAGAGACATTGATTTGTTGTTCCATTTATTTATATATTGATTAGTTGATTCTTGTATGTGCTCTGACCCGGGATTGAACCCACAACTTTGGTGTATTGGAGGATGCTCTAACCAACTGAGCTACTGGCCATGGAATTTCTCTTTCTCTCTCTGGCTTAATCCTCACCCAAGGATAATTTCCCATTGATTTTTAAAGAGAGTAGGAGGGAGGGAGAGCTAGAGAAACATTGATGTGAGAGAGACCTGCACCAGGGAGAGACCTGCAACCCAGGTACCTGCCCTTGACTAGGAATTAAACCCGTCACCCTTTGGTGCACTAGCTGATGCTCTACCACTGAGCCACACTGGCCAAAACTGTGCACCTCTTTAGTCTCCTTCAGTATGAAACAGTTCCTCAATTTCCTTGGCATTCATGACCTTTACTATTTTGAAGATTAAAAGCTAGTTATTTTGTTTATGCTTCTTTAGTTTAGAATTATTTAATTGCATACAATTTTGATTTGTCACATTACTGTTTAACTTTGAATATTTGAATAAAAAGGTATGGTCAGGGCCCTGGACAGGTAGATTAGTTAGTGGGAGTGTTGTCCCAAATACTAAGGTTGAGAGTTCAATCCCCAGTCAGAGCACATACAAAAATAAGTGGAACAACTCTCTCTCTCTCTCTCTCTCTCTCTCTCTCTCTCTCTCTCTGTAAAAAAAAAAAAGTTTTTAAAGGTACAGTCAGGCTTCTCTATATAAAGTTATTATTTTTTCCTTTCTGTTAATTATTTTCTAGGGAAGTACTTTGCACTAAGTAAAATCTCATTCTGCATCTAAATTTCAATTTATTTACTTATTTATATCAAAAAGACTCAAGTATCATCACTTAAATGGGATATAAGGATGGTAACAGATTATTTATTGATGCTCAAATTTTCCCAGACTTGGCCAGTGAGACTCCCTTCAGCCCTATTTCTGTGTTGTGCTTTCTGACTTTCTGGCACAACAAGGTATTACAGGCTCATCTTGTATTTTTCCTGCCCTAGCCCTAGAGTTCACCATTTTTTTCTAAGAAGGTCTGTTTCACTGTAGTGAAGAATGGTATTCAGAAACCAAGATCTGGGAGCTAGGTGTGTTCATTGCTGTTGGTGTGTTGCTCATCCCAGGCCTATATTAAAGGATTTTAAGCAGAAAAATATGTTCTCTAACAAATCCAAGAAAAGTAAAGTGAAAATTCTACTATTCCAAGAGAATTAACGGTGTGACTGTGACTGTCCTAAATAGCCTATCCTTATATATAACTTAAATGGGGTCATGTAGTATAGAGCTGACTTTTCATCCTATAACATGTCATGGGTCTCTTTCCATTTTAATTAGTATAGTATAAATTTTAGTAAATGCACACTACGGACTATGGACTCTGCCAAATGACTTATGTGTAGCATTTCTTATCATCATCACCTTGAGGTAGTTACAATTATTCCCATTTTCTAGGGGCAGAGGCCAAGTTTATTCACTGGATTTAAACCTACGCTATCATCTCACACTTTTGCATTTAATTATTGTGAGGGTTCTAATGTACTTGCCTCAACTTTTTAGATTATGAAGCTAGTTTAGAGAAATTAGGTGACTTAAGTTCAGAACAATGAAGTAGAGAAGCTAGAATTCAAACTATGTCTCTTTATCGCTAGAGTTGCACTATCCAATGCAGTAGCTACTAGTTATATGTGGTTACTAAATTCTTGAAATTTATCTAGTTGAAATTGAGATGTGTTTACATATAAAGTGCATATAAGCCGAAACCGGTTTGGCTCAGTGGATAGAGTGTCGGCTTGCGGACTGAGGGGTCCTGGGTTCAATTCCGGTCAAGGGCATGTACCTGGGTTGCGGGCACATCCCCAGTGGGAGATGTGCAGGAGGCAGCTAATCGATGTTCCTCTCTCATAGATGTTTCTAACTGTCTATCTCTCTCCCTTCCTCTCTGTAAAAAATCAATAAAATATATTTTAAAAAAAAAATAAAGTGCATATAAGATTTTGAAGACTTAATATGGAAAAAATGTAAAATCTTATAAAATTTTTATCTTAGTTATATATATTTTAGATTGAGTTAAATATATTACATGTAATTCTACCTGTTTTTAATGTGGCTATTAGAAATTTTATTTATTTATTTATTTATCCTCACCAGAGGATATTTTTCCCATTGATTTTTCGAAAGAGTGGAAGGGAGGAAGGGGGAGAGAGAGAGACACACATCAATGTGAGAGAGACACATCAATTGGTTGCCTCTCCGAGGTGCCTAGACAGGGATCAAACTTGCAACCCAGGTACATGCCCTTCAGTGCACTGGGTCGAAGCCCTATCCACTTAGTAACACTGGCCAGGGTATGCTATTAGAAAATTCAAATCAATGGAATAGAATTGAAAGTCCAGAAATAAACCCATGTATCTATGGTCAATTGATTTTTTTACAGGGTGCCAAGACTATTCATAGAGAAAGAATACTCTTTTCAACAAATGGTGGTGGCACAATGGGATAACCACATGCAAAAAATAAAATTGGATCCCTACCTCACACTATGTACAAAATTAAGTCAAACTAGATTAAAAAGCTAAATGTAGATCTAAAACTATACAACCCTTAGAAGAAAACATAGGTGTAAATCTTCATGACCTTGGTTTCTTAGATATGGCACCAAAGCACAACCAACCAAAAAGGGGAAAAATCAACATTAAAAACTTGTTTTGCATCAACAGACACTATGAAAAAATGAAAAGACAATCCACAGAATGGGAGAAAATATTTGTGAATCACATATCTCATAAGGATCGAGTATCCAGACTATATAAAGAACTCATAACTCAATAATAAAAAGACAACCTATTTAAAAATGGACAAAGAATTTGAGTGGATGTTTCTGTAAAGAATGTAACACAAATGGGTAACAACACAGAAAAATGTATTCAACATCTTAGTCATTAGGGAAATGTAAATCAGAATCACTTCATTCCCAATTGCCTGACTAAAATAAAAGATAGACAATAACAAGTGTTGATGAGGTTGTGTAGAAATTGAAATCCTCATACATTGCTGGTGGGAATATAAAATGATGCAGCTGCTTTTGAAAGCAGTTTGGTAGTTCCTTAAAAAGTTAAACATGGGGTCAACTATATGACTCAGAAGTGTCACTCCTAGGTATATACCCAGGAAAACAGGAAATATATTTTCACCCAAAAATTTGTATAGGAATGATCATAACAGCATTATTCGTGATACTCAAAAAGGGAAACAATCACAGGTCTATCAATTGATGAATCAATTAAAAATGTAGTATATCTATATTTTAGAATATGATTCAACCATACAGAGGAGGGAATCATGTTGCAACATGGGTGAACCTTGAAACATACTAAGAAGCCAGTGTAAAAAGACCACATAATGTATGATTCTGTTTACATGAAATGTCCAGAACAGCCAAATCCTGTAAAGTAGAAGTTGTTATGGATTGGGAAATGGGGAATGACTACTAATGGGTACTGGGTTTCTTTTGATTCTGAAATTAGGTAGTGGTGGTGGTTGCATAACTTTGTGAATGTAGGGGAAAACACTAAATTCTATACTCTAAAAGGTCGAATTTTATAACATATGAATTATATCTCAATAGAAATTTACACATGTAACTTCCATTATATTTTTACTGGACAGCACTCTTCTAGAATATTAACCATGATGCCAGGTACCAAGAGATACCACAATACAGTCTTTGGATGGTGGTCTCACAGAAACAGCCTGAGCTGCAGTCCCATTCCATAGACTCTGGGCCACTTGCTCTTTCCCTATGATGTGATGTGGGTCTTCCCTATACCAGCTCTGTGGCTGCGTGGGGTGGCAGAAGCATCACTAACCTTATTCCCCAGGTCCGGGACACCCTGATGCTGGCAAACAAGCCCTTCTTCCTGGTGCTGGAGGAAGATGGCACAGTGGTAGAGACAGAAGAGTATTTCCAAACGCTGGCAGACGACACAGTGTTCATGGCCCTCCAGAAGGGGCAGAAATGGCAGCCCCCATCAGACCAGGTGAGGTGCCACCTGTGGAGGGAGAACATTGGGAATCAGAAGTCCTTGAGGGGTGCCAACCACACACTTGTCTTGATTCAGGGCTCTAGGTACCAACTCTCCCTCTCCCATAAGCCTGCCAAGAAGATCGACGTGGCCCGAGTAACCTTTGACCTGTACAAGCTGAACCCACAGGACTTCATTGGCTGCCTGAATGTAAAGGCAACTCTCTATGGCACATACTCCCTTTCCTACAATCTTCATTGCTATGGGGCCAAGCGCGTCATGAAGTGAGTAAATTGGGATTCGCTGGGGGCAGGGTGGGTATGCAGCAATGGAGAGCCCCTATCTGCTCACATGGACCTCAGCCTTTTAGGGCCTGGAACTGGTATTGATGCTGACAAAGCATGACAGCATGTGCTAGATCTTACGGCTGAATTAGTGCTTTACATTTCACTCATGTATGCCAAAGGGGTACACATACTCCTCCGGGTAGAACTGGGATATATTTAGTTTTTCTAATTATCTTCTATTATAATAATTATTTTTTTTTCACTTAAAATAGTAAATTTTCCTAAGTAGTCTTCTAATCTGTTAAAAATGAACATGTGTCAGAGAGTTTATTGAATTCACTAATTAATGAGAGAAAAGAAGTTACAATCAGTTCCAAGGAGAATTCAAAACCCCACCCATATGTATGTTCATCAAGAATGTTGAAATAGCCCTATCTGGTTTGGCTCAGTGGATAGAGCGTTGGCCCAAGGACTGAAGGGTCTGGGATTTGATTCTGGTCAAGGGCATGTACTTTGGTCCTGGGCTTGATTCCCAGTAAGGGGCGTGCAGGAGGCAGCTGATTGATGTTTCTCTCTCATCTAACTCTCTATTCCTCTCTCTTCCTCTCTGTAAAAATCAATAAAATATACTTTTAAAATATATTTTTTATTGATTTCAGAGAATTTCAAAGTATTTTTATGTGTAGATGTTTATGGTTCTAATTATTTTTCTGCCCTCCACCCCTACCTCCACCAGAATTTGTTTATTTATTTATTTATTTTTAGAGACAGAGGAAGGGAGAGAAAAAACATTGATTGGTTGTTCCACTTATTTATGCATTCATTAGTGGCTTCTTGTATGTGCCCTGACCGGGGATTGAACCCGCAATCTTAGCATATCGGGACTGACCAGGGTCTCCACCAGAATTTATTAAATGAAGGTTAATAGAAGACAAGTTTTAAAATCAACCAGGAAGTACTTATTTTCCTTTTGTTTTCCCCTCCCTGATCCCCCCTGGGACTGACACCACTAGTGACTCTCACCTATCTTTTAAACAGATTTGGCTAAGAACTTAAAGTAGTCAAGCAGCCGAAACCGGTTTGGCTCAGTGGATAGAGCGTCAGCTTGCGGACTGAAAGGTCCCAGGTTCGATTCTGGTCAAGGGCATGTACCTGGGTTGCGGGCACATCCCCAGTAGGAGATGTGCAGGAAGCAGCTGATCGATGTTTCTCTCTCATCAATGTTTCTAACTATCTCTCTCCCTTCCTCTCTGTAAAAAATCAATAAAATATATTTAAAAAAAAAAAAATAATAAAGTAGTCAAGCAGTCAACCAGTTACTCTTGACCCCACATTTCCCCTATTCTTCTACACATCAGACCCCATGTTAAGTGATTGATGCTGTTTCAACCTCCTAACCCTGTGTGGGATCACTATGATCCCAGGGTCCACAAGAGATGCTGTGAAGGGCAGAGTTATGATCTTCATGTTTTGTAGGTCAATATAACATCATCTACATAACATGAGATGTAGACCATGTTATATTGGTTGGTCCAAGTAGTATTACAAAAATAATAGGTCTTGTTGGATCCAAGGGTCTCGGGTTCAATTCCTGGTCAAGGGCATGTACCTCGGTTATGGTTCAATCAGTTCAATCAGGGTACATGCGGGAGGCGACCAATCAATGTGTCTCTCACATCGACATTTCTTTCTCTCTCTCCCTAGCCCCTTCTCCCTCCCTTTCACTCTCTCTAAAAATCAATGGAAAAAATATCCTCCGGTGAGGATTAAAAAAATAAATTAAACAAACAAACAAATAAATGGCCTTGTTAAATGAGCTTGAATTTTTGGACATTTCAATTAAGGTACAATTGCAGGTAATGCCTGTAGGCCCTTTCCCATTTGCTGGGGGAAGGCAGCATCTGTTCCTATTTGCATATCACTCTGCAAGTTATGAAATTAGTAAGGGAGCATGGGGAGGAGCATTTAGGAGATGCAGCCAGGAGTTTTCTCTGTATTTTAACTCTACTGCCTTCTCATTCCACCCAGGGAAGCTCTTCGCTGGGCCCTCTTCAGCATGCAGGCCACGGGCCACATGCTGCTCGGCACCTCCTGTTACATGCAGCAGCTTCTGGATGCCACAGAGGAGGGGCAGCCCCCTAAGGGCAAGGCCCCATCCCTCATCCCGACCTGTCTGAAGATACTGCAATGAAGGCCTAAGTCCTCGAAGGCCTTCTCCAGCCAAGGACTAGCCCGGGAACCCCATGCTCAGCTGGTAGCGCCCACAAGCCTGGCAGTTAAAGAGCTTCTTACCTCCGTACGTCTCCCTCACCCACACAGGACTATGAATGTGGAAGCAGGGCGGAGGGCTGGAAGCCTGGGATGGATGGCCAAAGGAGAGTTGAGGGTTTTTGTCCGGGCCTAGCTCCTCCCTGTCCAAGGTAGCTTAGCTGACCAAGACTGGTCGCCAGCAGGCTAGGCACGAAGTCTGCGCCTCGGCTACCGGTCCTCACATGCTGTACTTTCATCACACTCCCTACCTCCTGGCCCCCATACCTAATACTCCTGAGTGAACTGTCAGGCCCATTAGTATATGATATTAGAGAGTTGGCAATAAATGGTTCCTGCTGATAGCATCTTTGCCTGTGTTCTTTGGAGATGAGTTCTATCTGGAAGGTTGAACAGGTCTAAAGGAAAAGAGGAATCTATTGTCAAACCAGTCTCCAACATATGGGGTTACAGGAAACAGCACTTTTTCTGCCAAAAATGTCTGCTGAATCAGAGACTTGAGCAAACCATATAATCCATACACTAAGTAACAATTTACAAAAGAAATTTGCCTATCAGAAGGGTTTTGATTGGCAGGGTGGGATTAAGGCACTCTTCTAACTTCTCACTGTTGAATTTTATTACAACCTTTTAAGTGTTTAGGTGGTAAAGCACTAACCAAGCTGTAACACGGCTCTCAATCAATGCCTTCCCTAGCTTGGCAGACAATTCAGAACTTTCAGCCTCAGGATTTCAAAACAAGCTGTTAGGTAGCCACAAAGAATATTAATTTCTCATCAGTGTGAGCTGGCATTTTTCAATATAGGACAAGTCAAACAAAACAAGCAAAAAGTGTTTGCAGGTGACCATGCTTTAGTCTGTAACTCTCAGAGTCAACAAAGTGTCCTTCCTGACCCTTACTTAAAGTCTATTTGGGTTTATTAAGAACAAAGACAAAGGCCTGGGTTACCACAGCTAGAGTTGGAGAGTTAATGCTGGCAGCTGACCCATACCCTGCAGCATGTGTGGGAGGAGCTGCCAGAGCCAGCAGAACACTTTCTCTTCTGGGCTTTCCTGCTCTTTTTGCAGTTATGGCCGGGGCTTGGCTCAGTGCCATCCTGGCTCCATGGGGTGGGCCTTCTCACATGGAGGCACATTGTTTGTATGAGCACAGAAGCTGTTTCTGGTCACCCTTGGCTGAGTCTGCGGCCTACCTGTTCCTGCTGTAAAGTCAGTCATACACTGAGTTGGGCTGGGGGTGGAAGAGGCTTGGACTCTGTCTCCACTCCCCCTCCTTCTGAGATTCAGAGCTTCACAAAGGAGTATTGAGTGACTGACTCTTGACACTGAGCCCTCCCAGCCCAGGAAAACTTAGGTCTTCCTTTTCTTCAAGGAGCGTGGAGATTAATGGGGTCACACCAGCAGTGGGCAGTGAATAGGAGAAGGCAGGCCTTGATGAGTCTGGGGCATGTGGAGGGAAAATTTGAAAGAATGTAGGAGCTCAAGTCTCAACAGGGCCAGCAGCCAGTCCAAGTAGAGGCATGGTCCCCTCGGGGGCCAGTGGAGGAGGTCCGCTGCAGTTAGAGCAGGCTGCGTCCCAGCCACTCAGCCTTAGTCTTTCCATCTTGCTCAAGCTGGCACAGGCGGCCTTTCCAAAGAAGGATCCTAAAATACCGCGGGGCCTACCCTGACTGGGTAGCTCAGTTGGTTAGAGCATCATCCCCATACACCATGGTTGGGGGTTCGATCCCCAGTCAGGGCACATACAAGAATCAATCTATGAATGCATAAATAAGTGGAACAACAAACTGATGTTTCTCTCTCTCTCCTTTCCTCTCTTTCTCTAAAACAAATAAATAAAAATTTAAAATACCATGGGACTTGCCCTAGCCGGTTTGGCTCAGTGGATAGAGCGTTGGCCTATGGACTGAAGGGTCCCAGGTTTGATTCCAGTCAAGGGCACATGCCTAAACTGTGGGCTCAAGTCCCCAATAGGTGGAGTGCAGGAGGCAGCCTATCAATATTCTCTCTCGTCATTGATGTTTCTATCTCTCTCACGCCCTCTCCCTTCCTCTCTGAAATCAATCCTATATAATAAAAGGGTAATATGCAAGTTGTCCTCTCGACCTGAGTTCAACCAGAGGGCGGGGCTGTCCCGCCAATCCCCTGTGGCCCTTACCCAGGTCTGCCTAGCCAGATCACCCTGATCGGGGCTGTCCGGCAGACCACACCTGTGCATGAATTCGTGCACTGGGCCTCTAGTAATAAATAAAAAAATACCATGGGACCTATGACAAAGCACAGTAATGTCCAAGTCCCAAACAAGATAAAACCACACCACTTGCATTATTATTTTTTTTTTATATATTTTATTGATTTTTTACAGAGAGGAAGGGAGAGAGATAGAGAGTTAGAAACATCGATGAGAGAGAAACATCGATCAGCTGCCTCCTGCACATCTCCTACTGGGGATGTGCCCGCAACCAAGGTACATGCCCTTGACTGGAATCGAACCCGGGACCTTTCAGTCCGCAGGCCGATGCTCTATCCACTGAGCCAAACCGGTTTCGGCAACCACTTGCATTATTGCCAAAGTTCTTGCCAGTCCTGTCTATATTTACCCACATCTAAAGAATTGGCTATTTAAATATTTGAATTAGAAAAAGTTCTTGAGGTATAACTTACATATAATAAAATTTACCCTTTTAAGGTATATACTAGTAGTTCAATTAACTTTGGGCAAATTGATACAGTATGTAACCACCACTTCCAGCATGCCAAAAAGCTCCTTTAGGCTCCTTTCTAGTCAATCCTATTCCCCCACCCACCCCAAGCCCTTGGCATCCACTTGGTTTTCTGCCAAAATAGTTTGCCTTTTCTAAAATGTCATGTAAATAGAATCACACCGTCTTTTAAAAATTTAGTTCTATCAAATTTTAGTTTTGAAATTTTTTATTATTTTAAAAATTTTATGAATTTTAGTCTTTTATGCTTGATTTAGATATTTATACTAGGTATGTGTGTATATATAAATGAAATATATCAATGAGATAAAAGATTTAAGCAGCTCCTAAGGGAAAACATATTTATTCATCTTCTCACCTATGATTCCTTCTCAGGAAGTAACCACCATCTTGTTTTTGTGTGTCCTTTTAAAACCGGACACAAAACAGGTCCGGGGCTACCTGTCGTCACTACTTGAGCCAAATTAAGCATTGACAAGGTTGAATTACATGAGCATTAATCCAATTATGCCAGCACTATGGAGAGAGCAGCAGGTCATCCTGAAAATTCTGCTCTAACATCTACTAGTTGGCTGACAATATATGGATAAGAAAGATGGGCTATGTGCAAAGGGGAAGGGGGACAGGATAAGGGCTGCAGGGTCCATGGTCCCTGTGTCTCCTTCCAGGATCTTGAAGTCCGATAACAAGATAGTTAATTTACTGTTAAAAACCAGTTCAGCCTGTTCCTGGGACTGGAGAATGGTCAGCATTCCTGAGGCGAATTCCCGGAGGGGGTCAGGGTCCAGGCACAGCAACCAAATCAAAGTGTTTCCTGTCCTTGAATTTTTTGAGTAATGGATCTATCCAGGCTCCAAGGCATTGTATCTTTTTACAGCCTTGTTTTTCTTCTTGCATCAGATTCTCCAGTTTCCCAGGATCTGTAAGAAACCTGTTATAGCCTGACCAGCAGGTGTGGCTCTGTGGTAGAGCATGACCCATGCACCAAGAAGTCCATTTCTCAGTCAGGGCATACACCCGGGGTTATGGGCTCGATCCCCAGCAGGGGGCGCGCTAGAGCAGCCAATCAGTGTTGCATGGATGTTTCTCTCTCTTTCTCCCTCTCCCTTCCTCTCTCTCAAATCAATAAAAACATACTTTAAAAAATGTTTAAACCTCTTACCTATAGTTAGTAAAGTGAATAATCATTAAACAACTGTGGTCCTATTCCTATTATATGCCCTTCTCCCTAACACTTTCAGAAATCCAGGAGTATATAAATAAAACAAATATACATAAATTGCACACACATATACAGTCATGCACCCCATAATGATGGGGATAGTTCTGGGGAATGCAGCGTTAGACAATTTCATTGTTGTGTGAACATTATAGAGCGCACTTACACAAACCTAAATGGTATGGCCTGCTACACACCGAGGCTACAATCCTGTAGAGCAGCGGTTCTCAACCTGTGGGTCGCGACCCCTTTGGGGGGTCGAGCGACCCTTTCACAGGGGTCGCCTAAGACCATCGGAAAACACATATATAATTACATATTGTTTTTGTGATTAATCACTATGCTTTAATTATGTTCAATTTGTAATAATGAAATTGGGGGTCACCACAACATGAGGAACTGTATTAAAGGGTCGCGGCATTAGGAAGGTTGAGAACCACTGCTGTGGAGCATGTTACTGTACAAAACAACATGAGATTAAATCAAGCACAAAAGAAAATTATGCAATTCATTGATGCAGTAAGTATGAGATGTATGATCCTGCTGCTAGTATAACATGGCATACTGTTTTATGGCAAACTTTTTTTTTAATAAGTAGAAAGAGTACACTCTAAAGTAATGATAAAAATATAGTATAGTGAATACATAAACCAGTCCCATAGCTATTTATTACTATTTTTAAGTATTATATACTATACAGAATTGTATACACTATTCTTTTCTATGAAAGGTTTGTCTACACCAGTATCACCACAAACATGTGAGTTAAGCATTGTGCTATGACAGTGTAACAGCTTCAACCTCACTAGGTGATAGTAATATTTCAACTCCATTATAATCTTTTGTAAAAATATTTTAAATGATTTTTTTAGAGGGAGAGAAACATCGATGTGAGAGGTTTTTTTTAAAGACATTTTTAAAACTTTTTAGAGATACAGGGAGAGGGAGAAAAAGAGAAACACCGATGTGAGAGTGAAACATCAATCAGGTGGGAACACCTCCTACCAGGGATTGAGCCTGCAACCCAGGCATGTGCCTGACCTAAATAGAACCAACGACCCTTTTGTGCATAGGAGGAAGCCTAACCAATGGGTCACACTGGCCAGGGCTCTATTATAATTTATGTGACCACCATCACATGTGGTCCGTAGTTGACTGAAATGTCATTATGTGGAACATGACTATATATATATATATATATATACATATATATATACACACACACACACACACACACACAGTGCATGCATATTCTAGTCACACTGCCCTTACCTTTGTTCTTTTTACTTAATATTCTCTGGAGATTGAGTCATACCAGCACATATAGACCTATACATTCCTTAATGGCTGCACGGTCTGGATGTGCTACAATTGACTTAGCCATCCCTCTGTTGATGGATTTAGGTTTAATTTGAAGTCTTTTGTTAATGCAAACAATGAATTAAAAGTTATAGTGCTCTTAGTAAATAAATAAAACAATACACAGGTTGCATGTGACTTTTCCATAGTTGTAATTACAGAAAAGAATCCATTTTGTTTGTTTGTTTTTTACTTAGTTCATTTCTCTTGTTGTTCCCTACTTCTGCTTCCTGGTGAATTTCTATAAGTTCTTCACACCTGCCAATCATAACCCAGGCTTGGACACCTTTTCTGATTTCACCTGGTTCCTCACTCCTCACTAAATCTGCACAGGGTTTATCAAGGTGTGTTGTGATGCTGTGATTTGAACTGTATCCACTTGGTTGAACTTCCTGTGAGTAGTGCCTGGGTCTTGCTGATCTGTGTTCCCCAGTTGCCAGGGCCTGGAATAGAGTTAGCATGAAAAAGATGTTGAAAAGGCCTAGCCAGTTTGGCTCAGTGGATAGTGTTGGCCTACAGACTGAAGGGTTCTGGGTTAGATTCTGGTCAAGGGCACATGCCCGGGTTGTGGGCTCGATCCCCAGTGCGGGGCGTGCAGGAGGCAGCCAATCTGTGATTCTCATTTTTGATGTTTCTATCTCTCTCGCTCTCCCTTCCCTTCTGAAATCAATAAAAATATATTTTTTAAAAATGTTGAGTAGGTAATGTATTAGATTTATTTCCCATACAGAGCTAATCACAGGACAATTTATGTTTCCAGTTTTGAGGCTTGTTTTGTTTTTGCTTTGATAAATAATGCTTTAGTGAATCCCCTGCCTCTGGACTTTCTCTCCTTTTGGATTGTGAACCAGGCTGTTCTTCCAAGCAGTTTACTGGATTTCCCTCACCCCTACCCCCAACTCGCCTTAAGACAGTGGCTTTTTGAAATCAGAAGACTTCTAGAATTAAAATGGTAATTAGAAGACCTTAACTTTCGTTCAGTTTTGTCCTGAGATAGCCTCTCTGACCCTGATGAATTTCTTCTCTGCTCTGTGTCTCAGGTTCCCTGTCAACATTAAGAAATATTCAAACCCGTGAAGAATTTTTGTGGGTTTATTTGAGCCAAACTGTCGACAAATGCCGGGAAACAAAATCTCAATGGATTGAGATAATGCTCTGGAGAATGGCAGTTATGCACTGTGTGTGTGTGTGTGTGTGTGTTTTAATACATATATTTTTATTGATTTCTGAGAGGAAGGGAGAGATAGAGAGATAGAAACATCAATGATGAGAGAGAATCATTGATTGGCTCTCTCCCACACGCACGTGGAGGATCGAGCCCGAAACCTGGGCATATGCCCTTGGCCGGAATGGAACCTGGGACCCTCTAGTCCGCAGGCAGATGCTCTATCCACTGAGCCAAACCCGCTAGGGCTGCACCTTGTTTTATACATTACAATCAAATGGGTTACATGAAACCCATTGGTGATAGATTAGGGAGGTGGGAGAAAGCAAAGTGGGGCGGAGGAGGGAGGGGAAACTCTGGGATTGGATAAAAAGTAAGATGATAGACACACTTTTTACTTAGGTGGGTGCAGGAGAGTTAACAGTCAACAAACTAACTCAATAACAACAAGGCAATCTGTGGTCTCTGCAGACTGGTGCCCGTGCTTCGAGGGGTCTGGAAAATTTGACATTCCAACGATATGTATCACAGGTGCAAAGGAACAACAGACAGTCTCCGTTATGATAAAGATGGGCCTTTTCCAGGTAAGATACTGGCCTAGAACATGACTACCCACCATAAACTGCTTTTAGTTCCCAACGTTTTAATTTCAGACTATCCTTTGTGGTTCCTATAGGCCTCTGAGTTTGCAAGGCGGCCGTGCAGGCTTCCCTTACCTAGCCAGGTTAGCTTGCGGCCTCTTTCCGTCAACCTTTGGCCCGTTTTGTTCGTGGAGAGCCTCTGCGACCCTGACAAAAACCTTCTCTACTCTGTGCCTACGGCTCCCCAGAAGCACTTCCTTCCAGGCGAAGGCGAACTTCCGCCTTCTCACGGCTCTAAAGCCCGCCTTCTGGCTTTTCCGATTGACAGTCTATCTGACCAATCAGCGTGCTGTGGGCTAGCGTGGGGCGTGGGCTGCCCTCTAGACACATGCGCACTGATTTCGCAGGGGAAATGGGTGGCTACCGGGTGTTGGGCCAGGTCTGGGGTGGCTGGTGGCGGGGGCCTGGGGTCAGCTCAGCTCGCAAGGTCGCAGGCTTTGGCACCGAGGCCCGGTGATTGCACACACCTCCATACACACTTCCGTGGGGGTGGGAGGGTGGGGCTAGGGGAAGGTGCGTGCGGGATCTGGAGTTAGGAAGCTATGGGTTCCAATGTGGATCTGCTGTGTGATGGCACATTCGTCACTAGTCCTCTCTGAGCCTCAGTCTTCTCCTCTGTAAAATGGGGCCAGTGGAACCTGAATTTTCGGAGACCTCCGCCCAAGCATTCTGAGGCATTTGTTAGGATTTAGGATTTAAGAATGGGCGGCACCTCGGTAAACACACTCCCCTGTGGCTTACTCCACCTTTTCCAGGCGTCAGCTGCAACCTCGAGGCTCCAGCAAGCGATCAGGGTCCCTGGGAAACCAGTCCTTCCCAGGGCTGCTGCAGCCAGAGAACCTCAGTCGGGAGGAGCTGGTCGATGTGCTGAGGGCATCTGTGGTGGACCAGAAAGGTGAGCGTGAGCGAGACAGCTGCACAGAGACGGGGAGGGGAGCGTGCTGCCCGAGCCTTCTGGCCAACTGGATGGGCTCCCCATTAAAAGCCTTTGGGGTCCAATCCTGGTCTGCCTCCTATTAGAGCAGTGGTTCTCAACCTTCGGGCCCTTTAAATACAGTTCCTCATGTTATGACCCAACCATAAAATTATTTTCGTTGCTACTTCATAACTGTAATGTTGCTACTGTTATGAATCGTAATGTCAATATCTGATATGCAGGATGGTTTTAGGCGACCCCTGTGAAAGGGTCGTTTGACTGCCAAAGGGGTCGCGACCCACAGGTTGAGAACCGCTGTATAAGAGTCATGGGCAGGAATGAGCCACATAATCTCTCTGAACCTGGGCATTATGGAGTATGGGGTGGGAAGGTGGAAAGAGCTAGAGAGTGTTAAACACATTAGGCACTTCAGAATGGGAATTGCTGTAATAAATTGCTTATTGATGGACAAAACACAGGCTCTGGAGTCGGATCTAGGCTGTGTGGTTTTGGGAAAGTAACAATTTGAGCCTCAGTCTTCATTCAGCTATTTAATACTTCTCTTAACTATTTATTGAGCATAGGCTGTGTTCTAGACACCAGGCATGGCTATACAAGATAAATATGGTTTCTGGACTCAGCGAGCCAATATTTTAGTGGGAGAAATGGATTAAACAAATGAACAAGGTAGTTACTAGTGATCAGTGCTATGAATAAAACAGTGGTATGACGGTGAGGGACTGTAGGAGTGGGGCAGACATTAGATTGCAGAATTAGGCCCCTCTGCTGGTGACGTCTGAGCCAGGATGATATGGAGGAGACAGACATGAAAATCTGGGACAGAAGAAACAGCAAATGCAAAGGCCCTGAGGTGGCAGGAGCGTCCCATACATGAGGGACAGGAAGAAGTTTAGTTTAGGGTGTGTTTGATAACATGTCTGAGAGTTGTGGTGGGGCCTCATGATAAGATGAATTGAGCCAGAGGGAAGGGGGGTCGGGGCTGGGTGGAGGGGGGCAAAGGGAGTGGAAAAATGGGACATCAGTAACAGTGTCAATAATAAAAATAAAAAAAGATGAATTGAGAAAGTGCTTTGTAAACTCGAACTGCTGCTTTTTCTGTCAATGATGTTCCTGTATGTCTGTCTTAGGACCACTAGTGACGCTGAACAAGCCGCAGGGTCTCCCAGTGACAGGTATGAGCAGGGGAAGGAGATGCACTGAAAGGGGGTTTGATGTCTCTAAGGAGGGAATAGTGAAGAGAAGGGGATGATGGGATAGAGTTGCCTCTGGAGCAGCTTGTATTTTTTCTTTCTTTTTTTTCCAGGAAAACCAGGAGAGCTGACATTGTTCTCAGTGCTGCCAGAGCTGAGCCAGTCCCTGGGGCTTGGGGAGCAGGAGCTCCAGGTTGTCCGAGCATCTGGGAAGTAAGTGGTGGGCGTGATTGGACGGTAGGATAGGCATCCATCTAGGGTTAGGGAACAGTTGCTTGGAAAGAAGCCGAGGCATTTCCATGGCTGGCTTGGGATCATAGAGATAGAATACAAGGTGCAGGAGGGAGCAGACCGATCTGGGTTCAAATCCTCATGCACAAACTGGCATCTTAGGCAAAGCATGAAACCTCACTGAGCCTCAGTTTCCTTAATCGTTACGTAGAGCTAATACTAGTGAGAGCCATGTTCAGTATGCAGACACTTTTCCAAGTCCATACTCATGGGCAGGCATTGCCATGAACTGATGGTCGATATTCTTTCGTCTAACTGCCATCAATTAGAGATGGTACTTGAGAAGAAATCACAAACTCCTTGGCTTGTGTGTGGGGAATTTAATTATTTCAGAGATAATATATATATAAAATTAGTAGTGTAGGGCTTGGCACATGGTGGACACTCCGCAATTGGTGGTGATTGTTATGACACTTAACTCTGAGCTCCTGGGATCCAAGGCGGAGTGAGACACACATTGAGCTGCATAGCTTCTCAAGCACGAGGGAGCCCTGTTTCTCAGGAGGAGGTCTGGGTTGTAATCTGGTATTACTGTTTGGCCTTAAACAGGTCAGTGTCTCTCCTTTTTTTGTGAGTGAGCCCAAGGGACTTTAACTCTCATGACTTGTCTGTCCCCTTCCGTCAGGGAGGCCTCTGGGCTTGTGCTCCTCTCCAGTTGTCCCCAGACAGCAAGCCGCCTCCAGAAGTTCTTCGCCTGCTCACGAAGAGCCCAGAGACCCACGGCCACCTACTGGTGAGAGGTGCTGGGAGGCCCCGCGGCCGTGGGGAGGTCCCGCCACGCCGCTCTGTGACCGCCTCCTGCCTCTTCCCAGGGCTGTCACTGATGGGATCCCCGCTACTTCTGAGGGGAAGATCCAAGCAGCTCTGAAACTGGAATACGTTGATGGCGTTGGTTCAGTGAGTCAGGCTCTGGGTGGGGAACAGGAGGAGACTCTCCAGTCATATTACTCTTACAGGGGAGTTAAGGGTATGGACTTGAGGTAGCTGGCTCTCCTGTCTCCCAAAACAGGCACGTGACCACTGCCTATACTGCCTGTCCTGAGTAGCAGGGAGGGTTTGGGTATAGCTCCCGGGTGTGTGTGAACTTGTTCATTCTTGGGGCTGATACCACAGGTAGTTCCAGTGAAGTCCCCGTCCCGAAAGGACATCCTGGAAGGTGTCAAGAGGACCCTAAGCCACTTCCGTGTGATGGCCACAGGCCCTGGCTGTGCTCTGGTCCAGCTGCAACCAGTAACAGGTGGGTCTAGAGCCCCAGCCAGCCAGATTTTAGAACTGCATTTGGCTGGGGAGGTGAGGGAGGGGGAGGAAGGTGGTAGTGTTAGGAGCAGCCTGGGGAGCATCTGATGGACCCCAAAGGTATATGTGACCAGGCCCAGCTTGTCTTCCATTGTCAATCTAATGGTCATTCCTTTGTAGCTCATCAACTTTTTCTCTTATTGATCTCAGGATCTTCTCTTTGTCTTTAGTGTTCTGTAATTTCCCTATGATAAATCTAGGTGTGGGGGTTTATTTTTATTTATGTTGCTTGGGATTCACTGTGCTTCCTGAATCTGAAGATTAATGTATTTCATCAGTCCTGGAAAGTTCTCTTTCCAAATGTTGTGCCTCTTGCATTCTCTCTGTTCTCTTCCTTTTCAATGCCTAATACCGTAGACATGTCTGACCTTCTCATTCTATTCCCTATGAACTTTTCTTTCATATTTTTTTGTTTCTTTATCTCTGCTGCACTCTGGGTAATTTCTTTACTTTTGATTTGAGAGAGAGAGAGAGGAAGGAAGGGAGAGAGAGAAACACCCATCTGTTGTTCCACTTTGGCTGATTCCTGTATGTGCATTGATTGGGATTGAACCCTCAACCTTGGTGGATTAGGATGATGCTCTAACCAATTGAGCTACATGGCCAGGGCCTGGGTAATTTCTTTAGATCTATCTTCCAGTTGAGTAATTTTCCTTTAATTGGATCTAACCTGCAAATTTAACCTATCCATTGACTATATTTTTCACTTCTAGAAGTTCCGTTTGGTTCTTTTATAAATACAAATGGCCTTTTAAAAAACATGTCATGCTTTTTTACCCGTATTATTTGTTCTTTCTTTTTCTTTTTCTTTTTTTTTAATCCTTAATCATTTTAAACAATTGTGTTTCTATAATTCCACTGTCTGAAATTCTTGAGGGTCTAATTCTGTTGTGTTTCCCACCGACTCTCTCACTTGGTGGATTAGGTTCAGCTGGGTCTCTGTGGTATCAATGCCTAATACCGTAGACATGTCTGACCTTCTCATTCTATCCCTATTAACTTTTCTTCCATATTTCTTATTTCTTTATCTCTGCTGCACTCTGGAAACTCTTTATTGCCTCATTGGATGTGGGCCCTTTGGGAGAGGTTCTGCCTTTGCTTCTGCTGAATGCCTCAGGACTATCACTACTTTAGGATCTCCCTAAATATTAGTTTCAGTTGCAAGTTCACAGATCATTCGAGAAGTAGTAGAGCCCCGAGCCTGTGTGAGAACAGGCTCATGGCTATGAATTTTCAGGGGAATGGTTCATTCCTCTTATCCAGTCCTAAGGTAATCATCTGCCTTCGTTGGTGGCTGGCTTTTTCTCCTGGTCCCCCATTTTCATTGGGGCAGCAAGGGCTCATCCCTGGCCTCTGGGGTAGCTACTTGAACCCAGACCCCCTGGATATCAGGATTGGCAGCACTCCGAGAATAGGTGAACTGTGGGCTCTTGTGTGTTCTGGATTTGTTTTCCTTTTTGTGTTTTGGTCTTGAGCAGTGATTCCCAAAGTGGGCGCTACCGCCCCCTGGTGGGCGCTGCAGCGATCGGGGGGGGGGGGCGGTGATGGCCACAGGCGCATTTGTTTTAACTTTTTTTGTATTACCTTTCTATTCTGAGTTCAA